CAAGATAGAAATATAACAAGATTAAAATAAAGAATAAAAATATACATAAAACTGATAAATAAATATCAAAAATACCAACCTGTAAAAGAAAACATATTTGCACATATACGCAGTTTGTATGAAGATTTACAAATTCAAGTTTATTTCATTTTCCTCTCAGTCTCTCTAGTTTCTCCTCTGCTCTGTCTAGACACAGCCTGCAGTTCACCTGAGAACTCTCTGAATGTTTTGTCACACGACTGTTTGTCATAACTGAGACAATCACGGTTTCCTTGTTGCGCCGATGAGTGCAGGAATTTCACATTTTTTTTTACAAGATCTGAAGCAAATTTTTAGGAAAACTGTTAAATGAGAGATGTAAAATGATTGTGCTGAGACGTCACAATTTGAAGCTGAGATTTGGTTAATTTCCTGGAGGGAGCTGCACGACACACATGACACATTCAAGGACAAAAGAAAAATCTGATTTTTTGATAAATGGTGTATTTTTTAGCAATTTTGTAAAGATCACATTTCTTTTGGTACATTTTAGGGTGAAGAATGTTAAAAAAAATAAATAAAGTAAAGTTTATTTTTACTTTATTTTACTTTAGCACAGTGCTGCAGTCTGTTGCTTTACATATAGGCATAAAAAAAAACATCACAAAAACCCAAAGAGACATTCAACCTAACACAAAGCCGACATAAAAAACACAAAAGAGACACTGTAGAACTGCAAAAGATGAGAAGACATAACAGAAAAGGAAAGGTCTGTTGTCTGTTGCTTAGTAGTTCAGCAGCTTGATGGAGGCTGGAACAGACTCATTGTTAGTTTGTTGTTCATGATGATGACATGCTGGTTTTTATCCTTGGAGTTGTCTGAGTGGATGTCGGAGCCACATTAAGCTTCTTCATTTTCTCTGAGTGACATTTTGGAACTTGACAACACAGACGGAGTCCAGATCAACACACTCAACAAGCAGGAGTCCCACCGCTGAGGCTGAGCGCTCTGCTGATGTTTCACTTAAACCAAATTACCCCTCAGAGCACCTGACCTCCACTTTATCGCCCTCTGGTTCCGTCTATCTTCCTCTGCATTATCTCACTGTTGTGCAAACGCGTTCCAACCCAACGACACGTTCATCCTGCCCAGGCACAGGTGAGTCAGATAACCATCTGGTGAATAAACATCTGTGAGCGTAATCTCTTGTGCTGGGCTGAGATAGAAAAGGAGGTTTCAAGTCCAGTCACTTCCTCTAGCAGTTTTACTGATGGTAAGCAAACCTTGAGAAGGAATTGGGAGTGAGTCATGTAGTAAGTCTTTAAAGTTTTGCCAGTTTGATTCTTCTTTTATTTGCTGTATTGTCAGAGAGTCAACAAAATCAGCAACTGGCTCCAAAAGGTTTCTGAGGACAGAGTGATCAAAGGTAGCTGCAGCTGCGCATTAGCTTCTTCTCTGCTGCTTGCATGGGAGGAAACAAGTGAAAGGTCTTCATGAGGCAGAGTTCCTCCAATCATGCTATCATCACTATTCACCAAGTCTTACTGAGCATTTCAAAAATGTTTCATATCTGCAATTGAATCTGTAAAGCAGTAATGGAAAGATATGATCACAGACCGCAGTCCCCTCCCAACATTTCTCCTCTATTACGACATCTCACCTGCTTGCCAGGTTTCTTTTTTTTTTTTTGGGTCCCGATGCATCTAATGAACAGGAATCAAGTGTAATTACCACGAAGCAATCAGCAGACAATGAGAATAATTCTTTTATTTTAATGACATGACTCAGTTATGTCATATTATACTCTGGCTGCACAGTGTCAAAACATCAATTTGGCACAATTTTCTCCTTCAATCTGTTTTTTGGGGGGGATGTAATAGCTCCATTTGGCTCCATTCTGGACCCATCATACGTCCTCTGCTCTGAGCTTGTCACCGTCTAGACGCGCTGAATTATCTCCGGCTGTCTGTTTTCATTATGAGAGCATGATATTTAAATACAGGCCAATTTAACACACCAATTATCATCAGTGTAGTAAGGATGGTCTAATAGGAGTCTGGTGGCTGATAAGGTCACGCTGTTATCAGTCCTACATCATCCTACTGTTTGTTATATTAGCGTAAAAAGCGGAACATGACTAGTTTTTTTAACCACATTGTTCTCAGCCACGAAACAGGATGAGATTTAATGCTTCTGTCACCCGATGTGCTCTCTGATGGTTTCTCATCTGCGTCTGCCATCTTTTCATTAATGCCATCAGCTTCAAACCACCATTTACACGTTTATTGAAAACAAGACACAGAAAACGTCTGTATTTCAAGTCGTATGAGTTTATACTTTAACAGAAACTGTCTAGTATGAGAGCCACATGTGTGTTTCTGGTTATTCACATCTTCAAATTGCATCATCAGCTGATAATTGTTGTCATGTCTTGGTTTATGTTTTCTTCAATTAAGAACAAATGTAATCGATTAGCAAGTTTGTGATCAATTCAGGGTTTACAATTTTGTTTATTTTACTTTTTTAGTGAAAGATATGTAAGTTAAGTTTATTTCTACCGTTAATCAATTTAAATTTACAGAGTACCTATACTACATTTGGCTTTTTTTTTTTTTTTTTTTTAACAAGAGTTCTTATTGATTTTTTTTCATCATTAACATAAACGTTCAGTTTTGATTGCTGAAGGTAGAGTATTAACAAATGCTGCCTTTTAAAAAACAATTTACAGTAGGTCAATCATGAATTAACAGAATTTTTAAAAAAATAAAAAATTAAATTAGAGGTCAAAGTCTTTAGTTTTTTTTTGTTTTTTTTCTTTTACTATAGATACCATTCCATAATAACAAATAGAACACTTTTTTGATATAAATGATATATCCTCCGTAAAAAGCACAATTTTTTTATCATTATATATTTTTTTGTATTTATTTGTTTTATTATGGATGCACCAGAAAGTGTCCTGTTTTATACACACACACACACACACACACACACATGTTGTTACACTGTTGAAAGCTGAAAATATCATGTTGTTCATTTTAGCTACACCATAAAAATCAAAACAGACACAAAACAATCTTCCTTTTTTAAAAAATAAAAACACCACTGGAAGGCAGAAAATATCCTTGTTTTATTGTTGTTGTTGTTGTTGTTGTTTTTGAATTATGAATACATCATTAAAAGTACAAAACATCATTTTTTTCTAATTTTTTTCTCTTTTCTTCTTCTTTTTATTTTTTTTCTTGTTATTTTGCAGATGATTTTTTTAGAGTGTCGTATTGTTTTCTTACTCTAAAATGATGCAACCCTCCAGTAGGATATATTACAAAATGCTCTTACAGACTATGTGATCATATCACTTCACTTATTGTATTTTAATTACGTTAGTTATCAATGTTTCCTCACAGCCATAAATCTAACTTTTGTTGCAGTTCACTGCAGGATTCTAGACTTTTATGAGACCAAAGCCAACCATGGCTTCAGGGTGTCCCTATCCCGGATATTCTTGGCTCCCTTCTTGGGGAATATCAGGGTCGGGGTGTCCTAAACTGGAATGTGGATCAAAAGGATCCCACATCCTGGTCCATCCTGGAATGCTGGGAATGAGAGGAATGAAATGAGTATTTGAGCCAGGATGAATGTTTGAAGGGGACTGTGGGGACCTCTAAGAAAAGTCCTGTGTAGGTTGTGCAACAGTAAACATGTGTATGAGAACAAGCACAGGCAGCATGTGATGCTCTGCTTGCATGTGATAGAAAGAAATCTATAAATGTAAGGTTGGCGGTAAAGGGGGCCTTTTCTTGTTGTGCCTCAGGTGTTGTTGCCAGATTAAAAGATTTACAAGAGAACATTTTGTCATTTGAGGATTCACAGCTTAACTGAGAAATACAAAGAGACAACTGACACACAGTATTCTGACACACTGATGTGCTTAAAGGTTATTTATGGGGTTTAACATTTATAAATAAGAAGAGAAAGAAGGATGTGAGAAGGCAAAGCTTAATAAGGAGAAACAAAGAGGAATGAGCTCATCTCAAAGCTACATATTTAGAATATTTCCATAAAAATAATCTCTTTGTACCTCAAAATTGTGTAGATGTGACTCTAAACTGTTTCATAAATCTAGAATACACAGATCTATGCAATTTCTGCCTCTCCTCCCCCTCTCAGTGCACCTCAAGCACGCCAGCTTAAGGGAAAAGTTAAGAGAAAGGTTATAACATTAGACACAAGTTAAGGTAAAACTTAAGGGGAAGTTAAGGGGAAAGTTAAGAAATTTTTAAGGCGGTACTTAAGGGCAAAGTTAAGTGGAAACTTAAGGGGGAAATCAGTTTCACACAGCATTGAGGGATTGCCCAGAATGTTTAACAATGTTTTACATCATTAAAATATAGGGTAAAACTCAGTTCTGTATGTGAAGTTTCTCCTTAACTTTTCCCTGAACTGCAGAACAGGAACCTGCGAATCTAAAGCCAACTTCAACATGACAGAGAGAGAAAAAATGAGAGCAAGAACATTGATAGGCTTGTAATGCACGAAAGTGGAAAGAGATGAAGATTAGAAACACAACATAATATTTGTTTATAAAACAGCTGCAGGCTGCATTCAGCTGAATGAACGTGTTTCTACAGCAGGGCAAGGTCTCCATCTGGTGGCTACCAACACAGTTTAACAGCTAAACCTTTGTTTATTCTGATTCTTCACTGTGACTTCGATAAAGAAACCCGTAAATAATATCTTTAGCACAAAAGCATGACGTTAAATTACAGTAAAGCTTTGAATAGGTCGCTATGTTAGCATTAGCTTCTAGTCGGGACGTCTGTTGCCACAGCAACAAGTACACGAACCACGTCTGAGATGGTGTAAACGTAAGATGTGACACTTCGCTTAAATTTCTTGAAACCGGAACTAAGCCAAGACTCGACGCTGATTGGCTGTCAGTGAGCACACCTGTCGTTGATTGGCCCGTGAACGCCTACAAACCTGCTCCTTATTCATGATGAGAAGTGAGTCTTCTTCTCACCGTTTCTACTAACAACAGTTAAAGAGTTAACATGGCAGCAGAGAAATGTGCGTTTGAGCAGACTTTTTCCTTTCACCCTCTTCCCACCAAGAAGTTTTCTTTCCTGCAGGACAAAGACACGTCGGTTCTGTTGATGAAATGGTGAGGAGTTTAGCTGAGATGAAGACATGAGGGATTGAACAAGTTATCTTCTGCTGTGTCTGGCTGGTTGTGTGCTCCCTAATGGACAGCTGTGTGTTAACCTCAGGTCCATGCTGGGCAGGATTTCAGCTCAGAGCTACAGTTTTGATCACAGCTTCTTCCCCTACAACAGTGAAAGGTTTGCACTGGTAAGACACACCATGACAAGTTAGAATACTGCTTAATAAGTGTTGTTCATGAATAAATTCAGCTCACATCTTCATTTTAAGAACAGTTTCTTCTCCAACATCTCTGATTTGCATAAAATATGGATATTTGAAAAGATATCGGTGCAATTTTAACTTGATATCTCCAACACTTTCCCAGTTAAAATAAATAAATATTGCTCAGCACATTTTTCTGTATTCAACTTTGAGGTTTTGTTTTTTTGCTTTCAGTATCGTAGGAACTATAAAATAATAGATCATTGAATTTATATTTGGAGAACAATTTTGAAACTCCAAAACCTTGTTGACTTGGATTATGCTATCTAATAATATTTCTTATTTTCCCTGTTTACTTAGGTTTGAACTTTCAACAAACATTTTTTTTTTTTTTTTTAAATGTTGTCATGTGTTCTATATATGTTGTTTTATATTATTGTGACATGCAACTACATACGGTTCAGGAATATCACTAGCTGATTTCTGCATTATAATTTTTTCTGCTAGTGTTTGCTAAAAGAAGATTTTCATAATTGCTTCAATTTTCTTTCACAATTCCATCCACCCGTAATCAGAGACTATTCAATCTACCTGTCCAATATTACCAATGTAGAATCAATGGCATGATTAGAAATAAGTGGGAAGACCTCAGGCTTTTATCTTAAATAGCTACTGAGATGTTATCATCCAAACATAGCCTTAGTTTAACAATGTGGGCAAAAAATACTGTCTGAAAGGGAGTTGATGGGTAAAGTACAAAGCAATCTTCAAAAGTACTTGATATATTAATCAAAAATGTCACTCATACTATTTTAATATCCAGAGTTTATTATTTAAAAAAAAAAAAATCTAGAAGATCAGGGGTGGTCGAGCAGAATGATGGTGATTGAAGATGGAATAAAACTTTAAAATCTAAAATCTAATGGGCAGAAACTGAAAACCGAGTGCCATTGTGATTCATGTCTTTTTTCTTACACTTAAAAAGCACGGTTACTGGGAAAATATGTACCAGCTGTCTGTTTTGATCATATTTGAATGTTCTTGGTGTCACTAGTGTTTCTTCAGAGACCCTGATGTTGTATCCAGTCTGAGGAAGATGGAGGCTGGAGTCTGGGTGCCTCTCGGTATGTCGAGTGCCCCAGAAAGCCTTTTCATCGCTGATAGTCGGAAATTGATCTCATCTGCTGCAGTCGGATCATCTGTGGAATGTTTTGTTGTGTGTGTCGTAGAGAAGCCGGTGGTGTCGGTCAGCGTGGAGGCTGTTCCCTGCACTCAGCTCTCCATGGAGCTGTTTGATCCAATCTACTCCTGCGGCATCGTGAGGCCCTCCGGACATGTAGTTAAATGCTTTCATGATGTCCACCCAGACTATGATGAACTCAGACAGGTGACTCTCTCTGTTCTGTCTGTCTACCTTTATCTTTTGTGACGTGGAGCGTGCTCATGAGTTCGTCCTCCAGATGTTGCAGGACGAGGACTCGGAGCGCTACCATGTGTTTGGGCGAGAGCAGCGAGCAGAGTTCCTGTTCAGGCTCTTCAAGCACCTATGTGTTGGTGGAGAGCTGTGCCAGTACGAAGACACCGTTGATCCGTACATCAGCACCACGAAGCAAATGTACAAAGATCTGATCAGGTGAGCAGAATCCAGCTGGACGGGACAGAAATGCTTTAAAAATGACGTGTCAGGTTTGCCTACATCTCCTTTATATGCAGGAGTCAGTCATTACCAAATGATAAAACTGACATGAATTCATTTTGTAGCGTGCAGAAGGATCCAGAGACGAAGCAGATCAGTGTCGTCTCCACAGTGCTGAAAGTGTGTGCACATGTAAGTGTCTGTTTGTGTGTCTGTAATACGGTTAGCAATGAATGAATAGCATTTGTGGAAGTATGTAACCTAACATCACCACTAACACTGACCTACAATGACTTAAAGGTATATTATAGTCCTCAAACACGAGTGGCTTCCAGATGTTTTAACATTCCAGTTTAGTGCAGGTCAAGAAAACAAACCTTCTGAAGTTACTTTTTTGTTTCTGTGACCTTTAAAGAACCAGAAAATAACCACCGACTAACCCCAGTCTCTCCTGTAATTCTTTACGACTGTTTCGCTTCTAGAGGCCTTTCAGGGTTCATTTTTCTGTCTAAATGTGAGACTCTGCCTCCATTTAAGAATTGAAATATAACAGAAATCGGTTCACACTGACGAGAATCACGTCTGTTGTTTCCACTGTATGATTTATCCTGTGCAGGATGAGTCTGGACAGTGTTACCCCGGGACACAAGAGGAGGAGGAGGAGGATCAGACGTTCGCCTATTTGATTGTGGACACTTTCAAACGACACGTCACTTTGTTCTCCCATTTCTACGGTGTGGGGAACTTTACACTGTGACAGTGAAGAACCGAAAAAAGAAAAAAGAACCTGTCAGTGTCCAGGTTGTCTTCTCCAGGGTTAGACTTTGTGTCATGAGTGAAGATCAGTCTGGTGTACACGAGAATACAGGTACAGTGTCCAGCTCGCTTTCCCCGATTTGGGTCACAAAGAAAAAGAGTATTTTGCCCTGTTAAAGCAAGTCAATAAAATGTTTTGAAACTGTCACATGAACATAAATGACTATGAGCATCCCTTATTGACTCTAGCTTAAAATGTATAACAACAATAATAAAACAATGAAACATCCATCCATCCATTATCTATACACCGCTTAATCCTCACTAGGGTCGCGGGGGGCTGGAGTCCTATCCCAGCTGACCTAGGGCAGGGGACACCCTGGACAGGTCACCAGTCCATCACAGGGCCACACTTAGAGACAGACAACCAAGCACACTCACATTCACACCTACGGACAATTTAGAATCACCAATTAACCTCAACATGTTTTGGACTGTGTGGGAGGAAGCCGGAGAACCCGGAGAGAACCCACGCTGCAAAGATTTCGGTGCCCCCACTGGGACGCGAACCAGCAACACTGTTGCTGTGAGGCAACAGTGCTACCAACTGCGCCACCCTGCAGCCCCAGCAATGAAACAGTTAAATATTTGTGGAATCGCTGAACTGCCACTCCTCAAAAAAAAAAAAGAAAAAAGATCAGTATCTCGTTATAACATGAAGCATATTGTGTTATAACGAGATATCACGTTTTAACTACATACTAACTTATCACGTTATAACGAGATACGTATTTATCTCGCTATAAGGTGATAAGGTTTCACGTTGGTCTCGACAGAGGAGGACTCCTGTGATCTGGGTGTGAACTGGCCCTGAGCGTTGCCCCACTGTTGAAGTGTCTACAAAATCGTTGTGTACCAGAAGAGCGCCTCTCGCGTATGGAATCTCACCATGTCTCAACCCAAGCATGAAGTAGAATTTAATCAAATCATGTAAATGAGCCATATTCCTCCATTTATCCGAGCTCCTCCCACTGTTTTCTCAAACCTGATATGGTTTCACATTATAACGTGATAAATATTATCTCGTTATAACGAAAAACTTTTCACGTTATAACGAGATACTGATCTGGGGTTTTTTTTGAGCAGTGGCAGTTCAGCACTTCTGTAAATATTAGATAAATTCAGGAGATTTAGTCAACATTCACTGTTTTGAGTTTGAGTTTAGCAGTTTTGAAAAACACCATCAGCTTTTATTCTAACTCATTTGCTGACTGATCTAGATCATCTTTTGTATACTGCTTTATTCACAATTAACTGTACATATAGAATAGAATAGAATAGAATAGAATAGAACAGAACAGAATAGAATAGAATAGAATAGAAATCTGTTATTGATGCCCAAGGGGAAATTCTGTTACCAAGTGGTTGCTTTGGGAATCTTTGGGTTTCTCTCTGTAATATGGCATTTTAAATTCTTGACCTTTCTGTGTGAAGCATCCTGAGATGGATTACACTGTGATTTAATGCAAACTGTATGTTCATAGTTGTTGATTTCACTCCGATTTATTTGCCAAGTCTGTTATTCGGTAAATAGGAAGAGAGAGAGAAAAAAAGAGGAGACCAAAAGCAGCATACAGTCCAAATAGCTTTATTGAAACAAATAAATTAATAAGTTAGTCAAGTGATCTAATTTTATCCTCAGCAGATACAATTTTGTACCTCTTTAAAAGATCAAAGAGAGGTGTGCATTAGATTAGAAAATAAATCAGCGCCATGTTTTATTCAACCAGTAGCGACATCAATTAGAATCGGAAGACTTTGACAGGTTAGCGTGTTGCTTATTGCTTGATTGTTTCATTTTAACAACAGTTCCAACACCTAAGAGAGCAGTTAAAAAGCAATGAGCTGGAATGTCAAATGGCAGCAAGTCAGTGAACGATGGATGGTAGGACGTCATGAAGAAGAAGAAGAAGAAGAAGAAGAAGAAGAAGTGAAAAAAGAGAACGTGCAGATTGAGTCATGCATAGCATTCAGTCAGTTAGACAATCAGTTACCGTTTCTCATACTCGGTTTTCCTAGACTAGCGCCCCCTAGTGGCCTCAGAGGTAGTTGTGTGGAAGCCATTCGGATCTATGTGACATGCTTATGAAAGGACACATGCCTGCAGACTTTCCTGTGACAACAAATGTCCATGCCTCCCGCCTCCAGCTCTGACAGGTGTTATAATACAGTGAGGGCGTCGATGCGAGGAGGTCCTGGTAGAGGTACATCGATGTGCTGAACATACAGTAGTAACACTCTCAGAAAATATCAAAGTTCGCAGCAGTCGTAAAATCTTTAGAACAATTTCGATAATGTGTCTTTAGTTAGTTTAAGGTTTTTCAAAAAAAAAAAAAGGTAAAAGAAGCAAGGCTATCTTCACGTGATACACCTACGAAATACTTCAAAGCAGGTTTAATATTTAAGTTTAAAATAGAAAGCTGTACCATATCAGTTACAGAACGAGGGCAGAGAAGGCACAGGTCATTTCCTTTCTTGTCTTGACTCAAGATTCTACAGGAGAAAACCTTAAGTTTAGTTTTTTTTTTGTTTCTTCTAATACTGGGGCCACCACGAAACAACAACATGCAATACAGTGGTCTCACATACGTTTTCATGAAGCTCAACATTCCACGTGACGATGAAGTGACAGCACTGTTGACGCCTCTAATAAACGGGCGTCTCTGCTACAATCTAGGCCAAAGAATTCAACTAACTAACATTTCTCCATGAAATGAATGCAAAAACTCGTATGACGCCAACAGCGAGTTCTGTCGCTGTCCTGGCAGCAAGAGCGACAGACCATAAATAGATCTAAAAACACCGAGCAATTAAGTACATTCACTGTTTAAAAGTCGGGGCTTGGCTTAAATGGAAAAGTGGAGCACCTGAGTCAACTGGCTTGACTGGACCAAATAAATGAGGGGACAGAAGAAATGTTTAGACTGGCCAAAAGCAGTGTGATGAATGTTTTCTTACTCGAAGCTGGCAGCAATTATCGGAAGACATTTCTAGAATAAAAAAAAGAAACACGAGCTCTGCAAGTCATGTGCGTGAACCTGATCCGCTGCTGCGTGTGGTTTACAGTTGAGCCGTCCGTGATTTAACTCGAGAAAAATGCTACATTTATTTTTAAAGATCATTTTCTAGCTGAATTAAATATATTAAATTAAATCCTACTTTCACTTTAACAACCAGAATCATTAAAAAAACAAAACATTTTTCTGCTCTAGGTTGCATAAAATCAACTGTATGAACACAATTACAGTAAAGAAATCAAAAACAAATGAAAGATACAATTAGACATGACAAAAAAAGAACACGTGTTATATTTGTCAAGTGCCAAGTTGTTGTTTTTTTTTAAGTAAAGGAATCGCTTTCATCGTTTGTGTGTTTGCAGGTGTGCACGCTCCAGTTTTGTCCATCAGCACAGAAGCGTTTAGAGAGCGAACAAGTAACGAAACCAGAAAAGACGGAAGAGAGTAAAGTGCACCGGCAAAGACAGTCAGTAACACCTTTGGGCACCCTGCACGCTGTCTTCGTGTTGAAGCTGTAAGGCTGGAACTGTTTCCTAAGACACGTGCATTCATGAGGATAAAGGTCTGGAATTCATGCATTAGACCTGACAGGTTGGTTTTCTTTTAAAAACTGCACAAAACTGGCCAAAAAGTTCCTGCATAATCTGCAAGTGACATCTGATGAAGTACCCTCGTGTTAAGAAGGGCTGTGAAGTATTACTGACTGCCTGAACCAGCTGAAATGGTAAACCTGACCTGAGGCTACATGATGAGAAAGTGAGGATCTGTGAGGGGTTTTTTTATCTACGGGACAGCATGCACGTCAGGAAGTGTGGGCTGCAAGACAAAAGAGGTTTAAAGGGCACGTTAACTTTACGATGCTGAAATAGTCAAGGAGCAGAGGAGGGAGTTTGAACCTGTGACAGAACATTTTGGCTTGATTAAATCCTCAATAAGTAGGACCATTCCTCATTTGAATGCCAGCCAAACAGGGAACTATGTATTGCGTTTTGGGTTTTTTTTTTTGCATGTGGGCTTGTTCGAGATCAAACTTTAAAGAAAGGGAGATCAAAACAAACAACACCAGTCAGTCCAACACATTCTTGTAGCTCCGTTTGGGCTATTAAAGCAGGGTTTACACATTTAAAACTCCCTTGTTGGGGTGAGACAGTGTACCGTTTGGCGAGGTCAGCTGAGTCTGCCCGTCCAGGTGCAAGGAAGCACTTTCCGTCTGGCTCCTTCAGTGCTTATTAGTTTGTCTGGTGAGAATGCAAAACTGCAGGTGGGACCCATTACATTCATCACAGTATGAAGAAATGTGACGCCATCCCCCCCCCCACGACTATGACTGGCAAAGTACTGAACAAAATGACTGGCATGGCACTTGCAGAGCTGTCTGTGTCAGCAGAGTCAGAAAACTCTCAGTAAGTCGAGTCAAGCAGCCAAGAAAAAAAAAAAGAAGAAGAAGAAATGATGACGGGGAGAAAAGATAAGATTCCTCCAGAGATTTGAAAAACTTCAACGCACAGTCTGATTATCTACAGCTGAAGCTTTAAAGTAGGCATAGATTATATAGCATGAGGTGAGTGGGTGAGAGTGGTTCAGTAGTCAAGTAATAGTTCATGTGTCATTTCCTCGTCTCCGTCCTCATCTAGTGGGCTGAGAGGCGTGTGCGGTGAGCAGCTTTGGCTGAGGCTCCTCGTCAGGTGGAGCCATCTGGTGGCCTCTGTCTGTTATCAGGTCTGGAAACATTCACTAAGGTGGAGGATGCAGATTTGAGATGGGAGGGGGGGGCGAGACAAATCACTGCAGAGTGTAAATGAAATGAAGTGAAGACAAGACATTTAGGCCGAGGACTCAGCCTGAGGAAGACGTACTGTAAAGGGTTTGTGTCTGGCGCTCAGACAGTCGGCTCACTGTCATTCCAAGTTGCCGCTCTCGGATTGGGAGATGTTGAGCGTGTTGGCAGAGGGGAAGAGGTCTCTTTGGTCCGTGGGGCTCTGGTAGTCAGATGTCAGGTCGGGGTCCAGGAGGGAGGACAGGGTGAAGTGGGACGAGCCTTTCTTTAGGCACTGGGAGTAGAAGTTGAGCAGGAGGTCCAGCTTGTTCTCTATGGATTGTACCTGAACAAAAGCACACAAAGACTGGAATGCGTTGTGCTTCTCTGGCATTCTTTCAAACCTTTCAAACATGAACTGAACCTGTCAGCTTTGTGTCTGAAAGAACACCCTGCTCGCTTTTCTGTAAATTTGGCAATCTTACTAGGTCGGACGAGGTAACATTTACGTATCGCTTTCACCTGGTACAAGTCTAAACTGCTTGCCGTCATATTGGGGGATTAGCTCGCATAAGATTATGATCAACTGCGAGCTGTGTGGGATGTTTCACGGCTTTTCCCACATTTCAGCATCAATATTGACCCAAATACATCAAAGTGAGCACCGAAGAAACAAGACGCTTTCCTCATTTACTTTGTTCTACAATTTCAGATCTATTACAAACTGAAATATCCATAAAAGTAAAACTTTACGGAGATGAAAACACAGACTCACAGCTCAGATTCATGATACTCACCTATAATTAATGTAATCACTTTTTTAAATCTTTTGACAAAATGTTAGCAGAAGTTTTATTTGTCGCTTTCAGCTGTTTGCAGCGGTCTTTCCTCTGAGTATATTAAATACCTGCAGCTTCAAACAGCAGCAGGGTCCACATGAGCGTCTCCAAAGTAACAGAGTTGGGTGCATTTACGCAATCACTACTACAATTGTATTATATATATAATACTAATTCGAAATTATCCGCAATGTGGACACTGGATTAATCAGTATCTAATGGCAAGTCACACTGCTTCTCTTCACCTCAGACAGGTGAGAGAGTCACAGATTATAAACTGGGATATATTTTTCTTAAAACCATCACTTGTATCTTTCAGTGTATTGTGTTTCCTGTACTTTTTTTTTTTTTGCAGCAACTTGTTTTCACATATGCCAGAAAATGAGGTTTCCACAAATTCTTTATGCATCAAACACTCCTTCTGTTACCTGTTTCTCCACTTTAACTACACGTCCCATCATGCTTAGCTCATCCAGTGAGTCCAGTTCTGGCGGCGTCTTCTCTCCCTTTTCGGTTCGCGCCTTCTTATCTGGCTGAACAGTTCCTCGCCCAATTATCTGGTCCACCCTTTTACACAAAAAAACAGATTCAGTAAATGTGATGAAGGTTAACGCATTTTCTTTCAACTCTGTTTATTGATTTAGCAGGATCTAAATATTTTATATGATTATTTGTTTTCTTGTTCAGAGTAAGATAAGAGGATTGATACTTATCTCATGCTTTAACATGAAGCTACAGCCAGCAGCCAGTTAGCTTAGTGTACATAAACACTAGAGAGGACTAGTTTGGCTCTCTCTACAAGCAGCTGAATCTGTCTACCAGCACCTCTGAACATGGTTGTCTGATGCCAAGCTATCTCCTGGACAGGATCCGAGTCTCTGCCAGCTTTGACAACCAAACAGCTGGCCCATAAACTGTATGTAAAAGACGGACATAGCCAATGGATCTGAAAAGTGAAGCCAATGTAAAAGTGACTTCAATCTGCATTATTTTGACTGGCCAGCAGAGGGCGACTCCTCTGGCTGTAAAAAGAAGTCTGACTGTACAGAAGTCAGTGAGAAAATAACTCTATTTCTCATTCGATTTACTATCTTAGTCAACATTTTATTAAGGAGTTTACCATTTCAACTGCTACTTTCAAGCCTCCTTCAGTACAGCATGATGTTCACTTTGTAAATTAGGATCCCAATTAGAGTAAAGCAGATGATAAGACAGGTTCCGCTTTAAGGTATTGCTATCCTCTGGACCTTAAAAATCCTCTACCATGCAGAGAGTCCTTGAGTTCTCAGCCAGATCTGCCCCTTAGCCTTCACGTTCAGTCTCCAAAAATGATTTGCAAACTGCCAAACTCAAAGCTTTAAAACAATTATCCACAAACCAGTAGGTGACGCCACAATAGTACATCTATCTCTTATATGCAGTCTTTAACCTGGCCAAGAAGTAGCCCCCATAAAGCCAAGTTTAACATTTTGTCACTGACTTATTTGTGCATTTACGGATTAAACAAAAAAGAGACAACATTTTGTTCATTGGACAGATTTTGTAACCACCAAAACATTTACGAGAAATTGAAAAATATTCTATAGTAATTTAATTATCAGATTTTTTTTGTCTTTTTTTTACCAAAATTTTAAGCGGTTACAGTATATGTTGTGAACCTACCTCATCTGCAGGCTCTTGATGCGGCCCAGCATATCCAGGTGTCCAGCTGAATACTGCTCTATGACATCTTTTACATCATACGGACGCAGCGTCTCCTTAAACTTCCTCTTGGCCACAAGAAACTTCAAGATCCTGCACACACAAAACACACCGCTGTTATCAGCTCCTCTGGGCACCTTTAAAGAGCCCCACATGGACAAGTATGAATGTACAGTAATCCGTTATAAAAGTGCAGGAGCAGGGGGCTGTCAAATGATGCGGACCACCCTGAGAATAACAAGATTAATTAAATTCAGCGTGACCTTATCATTCACAAACAGCCCCATAAAGGAAGCAGTCACAAACCTACTAAACCGTGCCTCCCAGAGACGTTTTCTTATCGGTATTTGCTGTTTCAGCAATTAGCACATTTCCACAGATGAAAGTGGGCAACACGCACGCCTCTATCCCCCTTGTTTCTGCTCTTTTGTCACTGGTGGACCACAGCTGCTCGAGCTTCCAGTGAACACGCGCTCATCATCACCACCCACATCCCAGCGTGGGGGAGTCACACTGAGGAATGTTGACCCAGCACTACTGAACACATCACTGACAACATCCTGTGCCGGTCCGGTTGGACGTCATGCTGGAGGGAGTTGAGGGTGTGCAGGAGATAATGGGAAAGGAGTGGAGAAAAGTTTAAGGATGTGTGCGTGCCTGGCTCTCTGTGTTGGGTCCATGACCGTGGGTCATTCAATTCCCTTCTCATCACTTACTCTCAGAGATGCTGGCTGCACAAAAGCACCGGAAACACCACGTGTAAGCAAGACGGAATACATACACAGTCAAGCTGTCATCTCAGCCCGTGATAGATTGTGCTACAAGTCATGCCAGGACAGACGGAGGTGTGAGAGAGTGAGAGAGGGAATGAAGAAGAGGAAGGAATACGGGATTTTTTATTTCATTTTATCTCTCACAACCAGATGACTAAGTCCACTATAATAAGCCGAAGATCAGAAACGCTCAGCTGTTTTGAGGGAAAAGTGTCACACACACATATTTGTGTACGCACATGCACGGACACAAAAATATAAAGCCACAAATGCATACATGAGCGTACCTACACACCCGGACGTACACACCAACACACACGTGGGCGATGCACGAGCAGTGAAATCTGAACTTGTGAGAGGGGTCATTTTCTCAAATAACTACTGTAACCTTTGTTGAGGTCTGCAGCGCTTGCATTTATAGCAGCCACATACGGCGCAGTGTTGTGTAGTGACCGGAGCAGCAACAAAGAGGAGGAAGAAGGTGCAAGCGAAGGAGAAGAGGAGCGAGAGGAGGAGGAGGAGGAGTGGTGGTCTACAGCTGGTGCCGTAGCAGCCGTCAGCGAACTCCTCCCCCCTCACGCAGCACTCTGTTTCTTGATGACTTCTGCATTTGGGGTATTTTTTTGCAGGCGGTCTTTTCTTATTTTGCAGGTAGATGCAGATTTTTTTGCCAGGGTGGGTCTCAGGTGTGGGTAAAAGAAAAGGTTGAAACGTGAGGGGAGGAGGAGGGGCTTTAGATTTGGATCCTCCAAGGGTTTCTTTAGAATGCTGACTCTCCTTTCCAGTCATTGAAGTGGCTTTCATAACACACAGTCAGTTCTGAGCGGGGCCCCCTCTGCCCCCACAAAACTTTGAACCACAGTGCAACAGTCACTGGCGGTAGTACTGTACAGTTGGCACAGCTGACTGAAAGATATTCCAGTGCTAGCAAGTAACAACACATCGACGTTTGGTGTGACGGGAAGTGTCATCTGTGCCCCGAAATGCTTGCAAAGCCAATGCAAGTATTTTTGCAAATTCAGCAAAGGTGGATTCCTGATAGTCTCCAATGGCAAGGTTTTATCTGGGAATTAAAAATGACTGTTATGCTGACACGAATCCTAGGTGGGCCAAGTAGGGTGAAACTCTGCAGGGGCCGGTCTCATTCTCTGCCACGTACGACTACCGACCAGCTAAGCGGACAAAATCTAACCCGCAAGCTACAGCCCGAATTTTCACTTATGCTTATAGATAAATACACAACGCAAACATTGTACGAGTTTAAAAATAATACAGCTGAAATGCGACAAAACCTGATGACTCGAGATCAAACGGATATAAATAGCGAGCATGTCCAAACTATATATTTAATAAAGGAGCCGCTTTGTTCGAGACTGCAAAGGTGCAGAAATTTTGTGTTTTGTGCAGTATTGGATTTGTGCACGAGGAGAGTTATGGTAGAGAGAGCACAAAAAGATATCAGAGCTTGTTCTCTTCTTCTTCTTGTCCTCTTGGTCCTTGTACCAATCCGTCCACACATAAACAGAACACCATACGCATTTATTCAGCTAGCCAGGCACTGATAAACCACATGCATCTAAAGTGAAGCCTCAGCACTAAGGCCTGCTGCAAAAAAAATCCTGCGCTTCACTGACATCAATCATGAACCTGCACACAAGACGCTGCGCACCAACGCGTGTGAAGCACCTGCTGTTTACACACCTGCACTATCTATAGGAACTCCCTCTCTGCTATTGTCTGCAGCACAGAGCAGCTGAGGTCAGAGCTATCTGCTGAGTCAAGTGGAAACCTGAGGAGAGATCATATAATGTCCTATCAGTGGCATTACACCATCAAACAATAATACATCATCCCTGGAATGGGAAGCATCCATCTGCTGTGCGTCTACTGAGATGAAAGCTTCAGCGTGAGTGTTAACTCAGCACCGCGTTGGTACAAGTCAGCTCAGTAATAAATGAGAAACAGTTGTTAAAGCTCAAGATTTTTACAAATGAACGTTTGTCATATTCAAACCCTGCGTTCACACGTTCAGCCTATTAGTGGCAGGTTAGCCTGACTGACCAGATGTAGACTGTGGGTATAAGCCGATCATTTCCGGCAGCATTCTTTCCCTCTGCCACTATCTGTGCGCTACCTTTTTTTTCTCCGCAACCTCCAGGTAGCAACCTATCGCATTGGAAAGTTCAAATTTTGAGAATAAGAATAAGAATTTCATCGTGCAGAAAGGCCGCCTCGCTATTTTTTTGCTGTGAATTATCAAGTTTTGTCTCCCTGAGTGCAAACAATTCCGCTCGTCACCATTTCGAGTAAACACTAAAGTTGCGTCACCATTTAGCCCCGCCCAGAGCGACTGTGATTGGTTTAGAGAAATCTAAACAAACCAGAACGTTTTTCCTTCTATAGCAGAACCATACCACTATGTACTTCTAAATCGGCTGGCAAAGCAAGACTAGCGGTATGTAAAACTATATGTTGCCAGTTTTATATCTTGGGCTTTTCTAATTTCTCTACTGTGTTCCACCTTGTCACCTCTGTCCGCTTGCCTGTGACCCTGAATTCAATTTCAGCCCACCACCTTGAAGGATGTTTTAAACAGAGGAGAAAGTTTTTTTTTCAGCAGCAGTGACGTAAAAAACACGGCTGGGATATACAAACCAAAGCAGGAGCAGGACTCTACAAATGTAAGTGTTCCTTATGTGTTCATGGGGTTTGTGTGTATGTGTGTGTGCGCTACTAAGAAGTATATCATCTGTACATTCTTGCCACGTGGCAAATGGAACTGAAAGTGAATACATAAGTTATCGTGAGCACTTTTATGCTCATCTGGCAGAGATCATAAAATACAGCAGTGGGCTGGAACAAGACAATAGACAGATGATGCAGCTGTACCACACATCATATTTAATTGACATTGCTTTAAAAGGATAGCTTCAAAGCGAGGATATTTCATTTTGTTATATGTCTGTTGTCTCGTTTCCTCTCCCCTGGTCCCTCTTTTTACCTCGTCTGCTTGCATCTCAGGTGGGAGGGACTAAGGCATGAGAAGAGGAGTTGAGGAGGGGAATCGAAGACGTACAAACTACGAAACTAAGAAGCGATGCATTTTACGCCAGCCAGCAATGACTGGAGCTGAAGAGGGGACCAACAATAGGCAACGCAGTAGGCAATAGCAACTACAAGTATGGTGGAGCATGTGGTGGAACAACCTAGGAAGGGTCCACAAAGGGTACTGATGCATCTGAATAAAAAAGAAACTTCAGAGGAAGGATTATAGTCCTAAAAAAAAAAATAAAGGGCTCGACAATAACGACGAACACTCACTGCCAGAAGCAAAAGTTCTGCACTGTAGGTTTAAGTCTAGCTGAATTAGCTAAGTGAAGTAACTTTGCTGCATGTCATACCTGCATGTATCACATCTGCATCTCTGCTGTAGACTATCTGATAAAAATCCAACTGGTACGTTCTTTCAAATTAAAAAAAAACAAAGACGTGGCTTCATCTGGGAGTTCAGATTATTGACAGATTAGTTGAACCTAAGAGGTCCTAATGTTTCCCCCTCTGTTTTTTTATACACATGCTTCCTTCAGGAGCATCCCGAAGTGCGTATGGAACCACGTATACAGCGTCACACTAGCATGAGAAATGCTGTGAGGGTATAGTGCTGACATCAGGGACCAGAAACAAAGTCATTGTAATATGCTTTCATCAAAGCCCCCCCAGAGACCAAGCTGGCCCCAACACCAGATGTTTGCTAGCAATTGTAGTTTTTCTGCCACCATCAGTGAAAAACCCCTTGCAGATACGCTTGTGTGTGTTTGCGTGGTGGGGGAATAGTGCGCATATGTCCACATGTGTCTCCATGGAGTCGTTTGGGCTCATTTACACACAGGAGGTTGTGTATTTTTTGCATTTCACAAGATGATTAATTACTAATTATTATAATGGTGGTATGGTTTTGGCAGCAGAGCATTTCCTCTGACACACTCCCCGTGGAACACGAGTGCAGCGAGAACATGTGGGGCTACACATGTAAATAAGGCACATGTTGTGTAAGTAGAGCCGCCAGCGGAGTAATACTTAAACATCATATCAAAGCTTGTAGGGCTTCAGTAACAGGAAGAGATGACACAGTGACAGGAATCAGTACCAGTGACACTCTCAATCAATTGTTATTAGAGTTGTCCTTGTCCAAACTGTACATTATCGTTTGTCTCTGTGCAGTCGCCCTGTACTGTGATCCTCCATCTGGATGGTGTTTGTACCTGTGTGTGTGTGTGTGTGTGTGTGTGTGCACCCTCTAATAGGCCACCCTATCACGCCACCTCACACATGACCGGCCTGAATGAGCCGGGCGTGCTGAGGGACAAGGTCACACGGGGGAACTAACCCTGCCTGCAGGAG